GCAAGATTTGTACACTTGGGCTACTAAGAATTTCACAGGCGTTAATTTTACTTTTATTACAAATGAAGATTATTTAAACAAAAAAAATTTGTTAGACGCACGATATTCTCAATCAAAAATAGTAAAGGGCACACAAACTTTGCACACTTTCTTGCCTATAAATGATGACATAGGATATGCTTACATCAAAACTGTATCAACATCCGAAAAAAGTTCAAAAATAAAAGTTTTTTAATTGTAAAAAGTTGACATTTCATTTAATTGTGATTAAACAAAAAATATGCACATCGTGAAAATGACATATTTTGTAGGAAAAACTCTCAGCTTTCAGAAAAAAATTTCAAATTTGATATAACACACGCCGCACAGTGAGAAAAATCGCTTTTTCACTTTAATTGAATTTTAAAGAGTCTTCTGTTGCGTATGACAAAAAATGAATATTTTCATTGAAAAGCTGAGAATTTTTCCTACAAAAAGCTATCTTTTTCCAATTGTTATAAAAAAGTTTTCTACGTCAAAAAAATTAATGAAAAAGTTGAAATAAAAATTCTTTCAAAAATTCAAAAAATCATAATTTCAAAATGGCTGTCTAATAAGGGCCCAAACTTTCAGGAAATTTTTTTTATAATATGTACAGAAGATATTTACGAAGTTTGAAAAAAATCGGCGGGGGTCGCCCCGTAAAAATGATTTTATTTGGTGGAATGACCCATATATTTCTAACAACTAGTATAAGCTCAATTTGTTCTTGACCTGGGAGGTATATTAAGTTTAATTTGGAAATTTTATATATATTTTAAGTAAAGAATAAGGCTATGAAGTATTCCATAAAACACGTCTAGCTGTTAAAAACTCACCGAATTATCTATAACACATATCAATAGCAAATAGATCGTCTAAGGTCATTATCTCGTAAATGCAATCTAAATCCAGAAAGGCGGTCACATAATTGCACAATGTCAAAGATTAAAAAATTAAAAAATTAAACAATTAAGAAATTCATTGCGACACTAAACACGTCTAACTCTTGTACGATTGTCGATACAATATTGAAATGAGAATTTTGGCGATGCAAATTCAAATCTTGTTTATGATCGGAATATATGCTTCGTGTAACCCTTCTGTATCTGTCTGGAGGTTAAGACTGTTTTTCTGCTTTTGATATTAAGCATTTCAGATACAAGACGCTTTCTGTAACAATGCTCTTCGTCCAGAATGTGAATGTTACACCAATCAAAATCATGTCCCTGTTGCAGTTTATGATCAGTTATCACCGATTTAGAAGAAGTGTTCTAACGTATATGATTACAATGTTCTGTAATCCGTATTTTTAATTGTCTTCTGCTCGGTCCACCTTGCTTTAAGTGGATGTAAGCGTTAAACTTTAAGCGCTAGATGACGTTATATCCATTCTTAAATTTACTTTAATCCGTAAAACATAAACTGTAACAAAATCGGTAATTCCTATTTCTTAATGTTAAATAAATCCTGGATATGTACATCAACCAATTAGAGACCAGAAATAACAGTTTTAAAATGTAATGAGATTTTATTTTAAGTGTCAGTGTGTATTGCAAGTGATAAGATTTACAGTATTTGACATGGAAAGCAAAATCGACAGAATTAATGTCGAGGTTCTCGTCAAATATGTCAAAATAAACCTAATATTATATTATATTATTGATCTCATATTTATGTTTAAATGCTGCTATGTTGCATATAATCTCGCTACTTGATATACAGTTACTTGTTCATTTACATTACAACTGTCATTTTATATTAAAAGTCCTGTATTTAACTATTATTTTTTAATATCTTAGAATGAACAAATAAAATGTGATATTTAATTTACATTGCTCATTATTTTTCTTGTTTTCCTTTATTTTTCCCTTTTTTTGTTGAAAGTATTTAAAGAGTATCTTTATGTAGATACTTGTTATTTATATCTACATCTATACCTATAGGTAATTGTAAAAAAATGTATCTATATACTTATATCTATAAATACTTTTCCCACACAATATCTATATTTATATCCAGATATACCTTAAACGGTATCTGTTCCAACACTGATAATTAAATACATATGACATAACAGTTAAATATATAATATGTAAATACTGTGACGTGACGTTTCTCGTCCGTCACTTTGTCTACTAGTGAAACAGGCTAATCCTGCTCTCTCCCGGCTCAATGGGGGAGGGCGAGCGTATTTTGCGTGCGGGCGCTGTCGAGCGCCGCGAAGCTTTCGGAAAATTATTATATTTATTTTATTATATTTTCTTTTTTTTTTTTAGTGTTCTTTATTAGCGATAGACGTGCGGATCGGTGGCTATAGTTGTAAGATTGTATTGAGCTGTCTCACCCGATTGCCGGAGCCGAAGAGGAACCGAGAAGAAGCCTGCTGGAAACGACAAGCAGAGTACTCTCAGCGGTAGGGAAGCGCAGGTCGTATAATTACTGTCATTCTTAAAATGCGTCATCTATTTGTGCTCTCTCCTTGCCGATCACTTTTGCAGAGGAGCGCGAGAGTCGGCCGGACTCGGCGAGGACCTTCCGGAATTTGTGCGAGCCGAAAAAGTCCACGATTACTAAGGCTGCACACGGGAGGACATAACACGAGGACGCACGGCGGCTCAGGCCCTCCCCGAACTCGCTGTCTCGGACGTACTCAAATCTGAGGAGCGGAGACAGTCGAATAGACAAGAAAAGGGCGACTCTGGAACGAATTCAGACCTCGCGTCGAGCTGTACGAGACCACGCGGGTGCCGCGGGCCCACGGGATTCGCGGGGCCACGCGAGCTAATTAGCGGCCAATAGGACGCGAGGATGACAGGATTCGGTATTATGGCGCGGCCTGTGTGCTCCCTGCCGAAAGCGAGGACCTCACTTGCGTGGCGACCACGAGCCAAGACAGTACGTTTCAAAGATTTTTGTAAGAGAGAGCCGGATCCAGCCGAAAGCAGGGATAACGAGGAATTGGGAGACTAGCGAGCAGGCGAAGGAGAGCTAGGAGGACACGAAGGATCGTGTGAAACAAACGTCGTTCGTTGTGAGGCCGCTGATCCGTTACGTCGCGATTTCGGGTGTGCCGCACGTGTCGAAAACATGTCGGTCGAAAGTTGCCTGTAATAAAGGCTGCCTAGAGTAAAGTATTGTATGCCGCGTGCGACTCGCCCACTTCGTATTAAGAATTATTATCGGTTCTTGGGGAACGCTCGCCACTTTGTCGCCACTAGGTCGTCGCGTATCATGTTTGTCACTGCGTAATTGTTTTGGCTCTCGAGGAAGGTCGTCGAGTTCGAGCCTTTCGTTTTCGTTAGAGTAAGAGCTGTAGTTTCAGCCGGGGAAATCGAAATTCCTATTGAATAAACGCCGGATACCGCGGATAAAAGGCTCGACGACCCCGCGAATCTTGTTGTATTTTGCTAGTCGTCCAGTAAATCGTTGCTATTATTCTTTGTCGAGATATTATCGAGGAAATAAATGTTGTATTCATTTTATACGAATTCCGAGCGTAATTAATAAATGTCGTATTCATTTCATATTAAATTATGAGTGTGATTATTACGTTCTCTCTCTCGTTCCCCGAACCTTTCCCCGCTCACACGAACCGCCCCCTCTCCCGCTTTAGTGGCTGAGCTTGCCGGTCATCGCCGTCACTATTAGAATAATTGTTGCGAGATTAGAGTAACAGTAACGATATTTCGAGCCTTTCGATTTGCTTTGTGAGAATTAGTCAAATATCGCGGAGTGGCACGCTCTTTCGTGTCTGGCGCCCAATTCTGAGTCATTGAGAGAAGATTTGAGAGTACGAAAAGCTACGAAGTTGCCCGTCACTCGTGAGTACGGTCGCAATACATTAATCGATAAGAACAGACAAGCAAATACGTTTATTTCTTCACGATCATCTTCACTTCACCACATCATGTCCGTTTCTGGATTGGCACGCGCTAAAGGATTCAAGCACAAACTCTTGAGAACTTGTATCGATTCCTCTCCATCATCCTTCGCGTACAGAGTGGTCCGTTTCGTGTTTCCGCTTTTAATTGATTTTCTACCGAAGGTATTCATCAGCGAACTCGCTTTAATTCCATATCTTTTAGGCATCCTTTTAGAAGAATTTTTCGAGGACAGCGATCCCATCTTTGTTACAGTAAATGATGAGTGACGATGTTTCCTTCTGGACCTGCCGCTGCTATTAATAACGTCCAAATACCCCACTGATTTGATCGTCGATCTTTTAACGCCACAATCAATATCACTCGGATGAATCATTCCGCGATCCGGTTGCAGCACCTTCCGTCTCGATTGCGTCCGATGTCGCATGTTCGGGTTCGTGCGAGGACTCTTGTAAATGTGTCCCGCGGTTTTTGCGAGCTTGTGCGTGATCCGCAAAGTATCTAGAAGTTCGTGGTCGTGCCAGGAAGCCACGACAGGTAAGCCACAAGCATTGTGCATACCCACTAACGGTACACCAATAGTACAGTATCCCTTTATCTCGAAGGGTGATCGATACCTAGAACTGACACTGCGTAAACTACGTCGAGCATTCTGTTCATAAACCGATATTTTCTTGCCAACGTGACCTTCTGCTAACTGCAACGTCTCCACTTCCTCTTGTGCTTTTGCTTTTTCATTCTTCGTTCTGGTTTCCGTCGTTATCGTTCCCGTGTTTCCCGAAGATTCGCGCATGTTTCTCGAAATCTGGTAATCGTTCGAGAATCTCCCGTGTGAGCTCCTGTGGAAATATTCATCTATATCGGAACCATCCTGCGAAGATCGTCGATCCTCCGTCTTATTAAAGTATCGAATGTCTTCAACATGCTTGCTTGAATCAGCGTTAGCGCAATAGAAGTCCCGCAAATCGTGCTGACCATCACAAAAGCAACAAAATTTCTTTCGAATGTTATCAGCTTTCAGGGTTTGCGCAGCGATGCACGTAGTTTGCGATGCGGACCGGTGATGCAAGCTGCTAGTTAAAGGAATTCTTTTCTTTAACGGCAAATAAACGCTCTTCTCAGGTTCGGATACTAGAGACTCGAATTGCGACTGAGGAGCCACGGATCGCTTCAAGGTACCGATGTTATGCGCGATCGACGCCTGATAATCTTTGATAGGGATGCTTCTAACTGTGCTACCACATTGTACTCTTTTAATTTTAACCAATTTATCATCATCGTTATTTTTATTTGTGTTATTGTCTGCGATCTTTGACAGCGACGCGTATTGCAGGTGTCTCTTAGGAAGATTCGACTGAGGATGATTGTCGATTACAACGTCGATCGCTCGTTCCTCGTAGACCTGATCGCTTCGCAGCAAATCTGCGGAGTATTTCGGAGGATTTCGCCATTCTTCAATTATGCTCTTTCCGCTCATTGCTAATCCGTTGTATTTAGTATCGTCGCATGTTTCTCGCTTGTTCATGTCCTTAACGTCGACTGCTCTTCGTTCTTCGCTGCCCTCTAGCCATCTTCATGATTTGGTGCCAAATGTCGTTCCGGCTGGATGCATTTTGTTCTCGATGCCTATACCTGTATTCAGACAAATTTGAACTATCATAAGATAGCGAATAATAATTTCGAGAATACTGAAGTTTAATAAGGACATTCTTTTCGATTAAAGTTAAGTATACAAATAGCGAATTCGAATGCATCAGTGAGCACTAATGCATATTAAAGCAATTATACATCGATTTAATCAGAGTATAAAAATGAAAAATACAAATATTCCGAATTATAAAATAAAATACGTTATCTAACAATACAATAAAGTGTATTAACGATTTCGCGGTTTAATCCAACACTTTGTTGATATCAAATACGTATTATTTTATATTAAACGCATATCTTTATGTCAATTTATACATTTTATACAATGATTTTAATGTGTTTTACCAGTACATTGAGCACACTAATATAATGCGTCTAATCGAGAAAATCCGCTAAAAGATATTTTCGAAATAATGCGACCAAAATGTGTAGTTTAAAAAGATTTCTTACTAAAATCATGATCATTTTCGGTGAATGGACTTAAAGTTTGTGTAGAGGTGAAAGTCGACGTTTGTGATTTACTTCTTCTATTCTTGCGGGAACATGCGAGAAGTATGCTGAAGAGCGTCGTAACTTCAACGAACATGATGACTAATACGATAACCAATAAAATCAAGGCCTGATCCTGCGTCCATTTCTCGATATGTTCAAGACAACCCTAAATATAAAACAAACAAATAACAATCGATAAACTTAATACATAAATATCGGAAACGTATCAGTTTGTCTTTTGGGTAATTATTTAGATTAGGGGATACCTCACCGATGACCTTAACCTTGACATATGTTGTCAAGGTCATGATTCTGAGTAACTTTGCCTTAACAACTAAGCGGCGGTCTCTTACAGTTTCTGAGATATTTAGACTTAAAGGTATAATTTTGTATAATACAAGACAAATGTTCACTTTAGGGGACCCAGCTCCGATGATCTTAACCTTGACATATGTTGTCAAGGTCATGACCTTGAGTGACCTCCTGCATGTTTTAGATGGCGGTCGCTGTCCGTTAAAAAGTTATGATCAAAAAAAGTTTCGAAATTAACGTATCATTTCTGGGAAATTATACGTATTAACGTATCATTTCTGCCATATATGTATTATAACAAGTACTATTTTACATCTCCTCCTGTGTAGAAACGTTAAACTTTCCACGCGAAGTAACTTTAACC